TATATTATGACGCTACGGAGCCTTAAACCGAAACAGCGAAAGGTGTTATCAGAGTATTTCAACCGGAATCAGCTCAAGGCTATTGAAGAGATTGCTGTGGATATTATTAAAAACACCATTACTTTACCGGCGGAACATTTAGATACCTGTAAAAGACACCGCAAGTCACTGAGACTGCTCGCGCTACGGCGATATCCCTCCAAACAAAAGCGTCAGATTTTACAGCAAGGTGGTTTTATCGGTGCGTTGCTACCCGTCTTTGCTGGCGTTTTAAGCAGCCTTATAGGTAATGGATGAATTTTTAATTGTACCCAAGCGAGTCATGGATGACCGATTGGCAACAAAAATCCAGCTGAACAAACAACCACCGGAAGCTGCCGAAGTAATTTCGCTAGAGAATTTGGTGGCCCATATCATTCAACGCAAAGATATAAGTGAATATGAGAAAGCCAATCAGCTATCGTCCACTCTAGAACGTTTTCTAGCTTTGAAACCGCGTGCCATTCCTGAAGAAAATCCAGTGCAAATACCCAAATACGTTACTCCTAAAGCGCCCGAGCCGACAAAAGAACCGAAACGTAGAGCTCCTAAGCGTCAACTAAGTCCACCCGCAACGCCTGTGGATCAGGTTTCAGAATAGCTTTTCTACACACCACCGGCTCATCGCACTCGTCGAAAAAGGAGCACAGAGAGGTGGTGGTAATCCACGGATAAAGTGGATTACTTTACCGTGATATGTCTGCCTTCTTACCATCGGTGCTACGCCTCTGTCGCATTTTTAAAATTAACTGTGTATCAACGTGTTGTAATGAATCAGCTCCTGAAGAAGTATCTCGACGCCAAAAACCCCGGAAGCTTTGGAGGCATAGAAAGATTTTATCAAGCGATCAAGCAACCCAAACTGAACCGTGCGAAAGCCAAGGAGCTGCTGGATGAGTATACGGTAACAAAAGATAGACCTAAGCGCTTTAAACGCAACCAGATAATAGTGACAGATCTGCAGATGCAATACCAGATTGATTTAGCGGATTTTTCCAAGTATTATAAAGAAAATGATGGTATTAAATATTTATTGTTTGCCATTGATTGCTTCTCGAAAAAGCTCTGTGTAATTCAAATGAAGAGTAAAAATGCGACAGAAACTCGCAGCGCCTTGGAAAAAGTGTTTGATGAGCTCGGAGAGCCAATGCGAGTGCAAACTGACAAAGGTCGTGAATTTGTCAATGATGTCGTTCAACAATTCCTAAAAGCTAAAAGAATTGAATTTTTTACTTCTGAAAACGATGATATTAAATGTGCCATGGTAGAAAGAGTTATTCGAACGATAAAGTCCCGACTGGTGCGGCTATTCCGACACAGGGTATCTACGCGGTACACAGACAAATTAGCAGATCTAATAGACTCGTACAACCATTCTGTGCATCGTGCGCACGGAATGCGCCCAGTCGATGTCATGCCAGAAAATTCGTTGAACGTTTTCAATAAATTATATAAAGATTCCACTCTACAGAAACCCAAGTTCAAGATCGGTGATACAGTTCGACTAGCCGTTAATAAAGGAAAACTGGAGAAAGGATATAACAATAATTTCAAAGAAGAAATATTTACCATTACCAAAATTGTTCGGCATCCTGTTCCAGTGTACCGATTAAAAGATGAACGCGGCGCAATTATTAAAGGCCAATTTTACGAGCAAGAATTATCGCGTGTACGGAATGCTGAGAATAAGGAACATACTATAGATTTTGTTATTAAACGTAGTAAGGGAAAAGCATTAGTAAGGTGGTTAGGATACGGACCAGAGCACGACTCGTGGATCAACGAAAAATGTTTGAAGGTTCGCCATTCTACTTAACATTGCCTAGCGATGTTAATAGTTTCTCGGAAAATACGGCATCGGACTGGACAACGCGGCTAAAGCACCCCATCACTCTTAAAGGCCGCTGGGAAATGGCTTTGGTGGAATTTCAGTGCAATAATTCTCTATACACACTGAGCCATGACCAGCATATTATTTTGGAAACCATATACGATCTGTGTTACACCAGGGTATGGAATAGAGAGAAACAAGCAAACAGATAATTTAGCGGAAGCAATTGGACGGCTTACCGAAACGACCGATATCATTATCCCTGCGGGTAATTACAAAAATGTGGGAGCGATATTGGATGTTATGAATAAAAACACACCAATTATGAGTAATAATGACGATACATTTTTTCGTGTTAACGGGGCCTACCTTAAGAACTTGAGCATTCTGCCAGAAAGAAAATATCTGGATGCAAGTTTCGACAATAGAAAAAATCTGCGGGTCAAACTGACCGTGGGAACGCCTCGAACCACTGTGCACTTTCCTCCCGAGTCCTTGGCACTACAGAAAATATTAAGATTCCGAAAATCCCATTTAACAACAGATTTTTGGGATCTCACAAAAGAAGGCGAGCAGTTCCTAGCGCTTGATGGTATTGCTGAAAAGTTTATGGAGAAGTGCAAAGATGAAAATTATTCTGAAACTCGTCAATTTATTGCTGAACAAACGGCAAATGCACACCTGCAAAATCAGAATGTATTTGTGTACTGTAACGTGGCTGACTACAGCCTAATTGGTGATACGGCAGCGCAGTTTTTGCGAAATGTACCTATTAGAGGCGGTACAGATCCTCTCGTGGAAGCAAGATTTGATAAAGCGCACTATGTCCCTGTTATTGCTCAACACTTTGAAACAGTACACCTTACTCTAGCTGATGACTTGGGAGAGAACGCCAAATTCGAAAACGGTAAATCGTTAGTAAAACTGCATTTTCGCCCTCAGAAATTATTTTAGGATGCCTCTGGTACCTTACGTGCCTGATCCCCGGCGTTATGACGATGTTTTTGTGGCGCAAACTGGTGGTAGCCCTCTTCTGCGTTATCGTGGTACTCTGCAGAATGGTTCTGGTTTTGCGCAAGTATTAAAGAACATTATTGCCAAGATAACTTCATTTGCTAAACCTATTATACGAAAAGCAGCACCTCACGCTAAAGCAGCACTCGAAGCAGCCACACCACACTTGCAAGAAGCAGCGACCGGAGCTATTAAAGACGTAGCGGCCAAAGCTAGCGAAGCCCTTAATAAGCAGATACAGCAAGGCGAAGGTGTTCGGAAAAAACGTTCCCGTAAACCCCGTAAATCTGTTAAACGCACTCGAAGAATTCCCCCGACCGATATTCCTGATTTTCTATAATCATGGCGATGATGATGATGCCCAACTCGGAGCCAGCAATGCAGTTAGAAAACCAACTGTTTGCATTGCCGGCCACGTTGACGGATCGTTGGCGTACTGAACATGAGAAACTGAATCCCACCACTATTTTTACGGAAGACGGTACCGCTGGAGATATTAACTTTTATATCCCCCCCTAGTACAGCGGGTCTGCTGAGTTTAGGCGACATGGTTTTGGAACTAGAAGTAGCCATCAAAGTCAAGAAAAATAATCAGAATAATTTCGAAGTAATAACTGCCGCAGAGGGAGTCGCCCCTGTCAATAACTTTCTAAATTCTCTGTTCCAATCGGTGCATGTGACTGTAGCCAACCGCCTAATCTCAGATGCTGCCACGTTTTACCCCTATCGTGCTTATTTTGAATCTTTACTATTTCATTCACCGGAAGCTCAAAGGTCACAGCTGACCTCAGCATGCTTTGCTCTGGATACCCCGGGAAAAATGGCTACAAATCCCGACAACACAGGTGAATTGTGGCGCCATGACCTTTTCGGTAAAGGTGAGTATGTCCAACTGTCCGGTAAAATATTTGCCGACTTATTCGACCAGAGTAAACCATTGTGTACTGGAATACCAGTCCAAATACGTCTGGTTATGAATCGACCGGAATTTTGTTTACGCGTGTACGATGCGGACAAAGACACTAAAACATACAAACCTTTTATCCGCAATGCTCGGTTGTCAGTCCGGCGCTATATACCTGCTCCGGACTTTATGACAGCCGTAGCGGGTCAACTGCTGAACCGGACGGTGAAATATCATATCGAACGCATCGTAATGCGTGTGGCCGATATTCCCAAGAATACACAGAGCACAGTGGTGACCAACCTGCAAATTGGACAAATACCGAAGGTGGTATTTATCGGTTTTCTAGATAGTGAGGACTTTCATGGAAATTATCAGAAAAATCCGTTTAATTTTCACCAGTTTGACGTACGTCAAATCAGTGTGGAAGTAGATGGTCAGAGTTATCCTACTAAACCCTACAATGCCGATTTTGCAAAGTCCCAATCATTACAATGCTACGATGGCTTATTGGATGCGTTGGGCGCAAAAAACCATCCTAATGGATGCTGGACAGTGGATCGTAATGGCTATAACGAAGGTTATGCTATTTTTGGTTTTGATCTAACGCCTGGTCACACAGGAAGAGGACCGCTGACTTTAATCAAGCAGGGAAATTTAAGCATATCGGTGACCTTTGCAAAATCACATACAAAATCCTTAATGATGGTTTGTATGATGGTATTTGATAGCTTTATTGAATTTAACCAGCATCGACAACTTATTGCTGATTTTTCAACATGAACTCGGAGCAAATATCGGCGGCAATGCGAGCCAATGCCATTACAAATGCTCATTTTCGTGGCGTGTTCGCTGCCGACCAAGTTCCGTTGGACCTACGACCCTATCCCGCTACGTGTATTGTTAATACCGACCCAGCCCAGCAACCCGGTGAACACTGGATTGCCGTTTACCAAGATCGACCTGACGTCTTGGAAATATTCGATTCCTACGGCAAAAACCCAGCGTACTACAGCGAAGCTCTACAGAAACGGTTTTGCAATGGCGATCGATTGATTACTCAAAGTGAAGTGTTGCAGTCTGATTACTCTACCGTTTGTGGTCAATATTGTATGTTTTTTTTATTACAACGTTGTAGTGGTCAGCCGTTCGGAGCGATTATCAGAATATTTAATGACAATAAAATTAATAATGACAAGATGGTTTGTCGATATGTTAATCATTATTTTAATTTAAATACACAAATATGTAACCGTAAATTTCTCGAGAATCAAATTTCTCGCTTAGTGAAATAAACAAATGCGAAAAGAGCCGTACTGCAAAAATTACACGTAGTCAAAATTACATCATCATTTTATCCAGCTGAGCGCGCACTTCGGTGCGAAACTGCGTCATATAACCTTCCAAATCTAATGCCAGCAGCTGTTCGTAATTAACCTGATTCAACATCAAAAGCACACCATGCACTTGTTTCTTTTCCAAAATGTCTTTCTCGGCCATAGTCCATTCTTCATCGGTGGCAATTCCTCGCATTGGTGTGCGTCCAATAGTGCTTTCCCGGTGCTCACGAATTTTACGAAACATGAACTCCGCCAGTTCCTATTACAAAGCAAAAGTTTAAACAGTATAAATGCTGCACAATAAATAATAAGGATAAAATACCCAAAAATTATACAATAATCACATTCATTGATTCACCTGTTTCAAACTGACTGAAGCGAGCCCAGGCATTGGATCCGGAGTGATGTCATGAGCTTCATTGATGTCCCGGATTTCCTTCAGTAAGGTAAAATCCACAACGAGCTCCTTCAGTCCCTCGTAGGCCTTGCGTCCAAAAGAAATCCCCATCTTGGTCGGGTACAGGTCCTTGTTAGGCGTTAGGTTGAAGCGACGCATAGTAGCCAGATCCATACCGTTGTAGCGGCTCCAGCGAAAGTACAGGTTGTCGTCCAAGCAGAAATGCGGTGACAGCTTACCATTGTCAAATGATGACGTGTTCGAGTCCAGGTCAGCTTTCCCGGTCAGGATTAAACCACTCAGGCGAAAAAAATTGTTGATCGTCATGGCGATGTACTTGTTGGCATCCGTCGGTTTAAACGTCCCATCAGGCTGCTCCTTGAACTCGGCCAGGATGACCTTCGTCTCTCCTCCCAGCCAGCGGACCAGAGCGAACTTGTCGAACCCGATCTTGTAAACCGGCAGCCCCTGTTCGGTAAAAGCGAAACGCGTGTGCTTACTGGGTGGATAGGTGGCTTCTTGCTTCACCAGCTTCTGGCGCTTGATGGGCTCCAGCTCCGTGCGGTCCTCCGGGCGGTCCTTGGGAAACTTGAAGGTCAAGTTGCGCTTGGGGTTCTTCCGGGGTGTTGATGGAATGTCAGCGAGGAACTCCATTGTAAAATGGTAACTACAGTATTTAATCGTGCAACTTGTAAGCTTGCAAAAGTAAAACTCGTCAAAGATGTAGAACAAAAATTCAAACTAACCGACTAAAGCGAGGACTAACTGAAAATGAAAGCGGTCGTTTACAAATTATCGTCAGTCGGTAAACTACCTTACCACACTTGTGCTCAAGCCGGTACCCAGTTAGACAGCGGTGTTAAAAATACCACGGGTCCATTTTGCAACCGTTGCGTTATGGTACCGTGTCCATTTTACAACCTTGTACAATTTTACTACAGCATATGAAACAGTAGTTAATTTAGTTGCTCTATTTTTTCTTTGCTGTTTTTTCGTCAGTTGACAGTGCTGAGAAAAATGGCTCCTCACCACTGTGTTGTCGATGCGCAGTATACTGAGATGCAAAACGTTAAGATCATTAAACATTTGGCCATTATTTGCCCTGAGCGAGCCAGCAGCATGTTTTCAAATGTTTTCTTTCCGTCTAAAGATTACATTGTTGAAGAGTTTGGTTTAGAAAACCTTAATAAGGGAGTACTGTTCGGTATGCAGTTGTCGGAAAACCGACGCAGTTTACGGAATACTCTGGACACCTGGTACGCTGTGACGTTTAATGGTACTGACGATGACCGGGACTACACCTACGCTGTGGAGCATGACGTAAAGTTCTATGTCAAAGGAGCCGACAAGTGTGCGCTACTCGCCCCTATCTTGCGACCGGCTGCTGTTATCAATCTGGACGATTTGGACTGCCCATCGTTCCGTTACCTGTCCAATGATCGCCCCAGCAAGTACAATAAACCTGCCGCCTACGCAAAATGGCTGACCGGAGTATATTTAAGCAAGGATCCGACGATCTGCCCCAGTTGCATGATGGCTCTGCCCGCCCGCAAAACCCAGCTGACCAAGCATGAATGCGAATGTGGAAACGATTATTGGCGCGGTAAGGACTGGTCATTGCGTACCTTTATTATAGCTGACAATTTGCTGATAAGTGTACTCGTATTATACAGACAGTCAAGGTGACGAATGTTGTGGTGACTGCGGAGTTAGGCTGCACGCTAAACCTACCGGACCTGGAGCGGAAACTACCGATGGCCCAGTATCTACCGCATAGATTTTCTGGATTGCTCCTGCGGACCAACCAACCATTCAAAGGTCACTGCCAGTTATACACCAATGGACGGATTACGGTAAACGGAGGCACCTCCAGAAGGGATGCTCGTATTCTATTACACTATTTCATTAGCTTATTGCGTACGCTTGGATACCGTTGTTTATTTCATAATTTTCGAGTGGTCAACATGATTGGCACTTTCTACTTTGGTCATAAATTAAGCTTAGAAGAAATTAGTAATCGCTTGCATTTATCTTATACTCCTGAATTATTTACTGGTCTCCCTATTCGCTTATCGACATGCACTGCTGTTCTTTTTCATTCCGGGAAATGTAATTTCTTGGGCGCTAAGTCCATTGAGAATTTAAACGCTGCATTATTGGAATTAAAAGCAAAACTGTACCTGTGGCGAAGTGTGTACGTGTGTACGAGTATGTACAACAAATACAACCACCTTAACGGCTCACGAATACTTACTACCTTCGTAATCATTAACTGTACGCTACAATCACGTGTTAAGCCAACTCCTTCCACTTAGCCTCCTCTCCATTAACGTGTACAGGTAACCCTCCTCATTAAAAACTTGGCTAGGTTAGCCTATCACTCACAAACCTGTATACGAATAAACGCCTCTACTACTGAAGTGTGATCTCCGACGTAACTCAGTGTGGCCATAACGAAGACCGTTTGCCCACCGAGTACTGCGGAATTGGCGGTCGCCACGAGAAGGACCGCCGGATGTACCACAATATGAGAAAAGAGGATAAGAAAGACCGAGGACATGATCATTCCCACGAATACCGACATCATGGGAATGCGCCGCCCAAAGTGGTCAGACCAGGCGCCCATGAACAAGGCGAAGACGATGGCCGGTACACCGGCTACAATGTTGTTGTAGAAAACGTAGTCGGTTGTTACGGTTCGCACTTGATTGGCTTCATTTCCGTGGCTTATATTTTGAAGGTCGGCGCAAAATGATGCGGAATAATTGAATATCACTTGGCACACCTGGAGAATTCAACACGCGCACTGTACAAGTATATACTAAAAGCACAACCATCGCAACATCAGCACAAATATATACTGATACTGTACTCGTATTTTTTATTTCGTTGTAATTTAATGATCGAACATTATATTGAACATATGTATATACAGTTTCGTATTCGGCCATGACAGTAGTCCGAAGTACTATCCGTTTTTCATGTGTATTAATCTTTTCTGTTGCAATGCATTTTTTTATTCAGTTCAGCGTATAAAGATAACTGGATATGATAATATTTTGTGTATGCCGTATTATACAAGTACGTACCCGATTCTTTTGCAGTTCTGTGAATACCGGCCCATATATACCGTTAGCGATCCCGAAGAGTAACGCGACAGGACACATTTGGAAGGCTTTATTTTTTAATAAGTACAGAGCTTTTTCCTTGGCAGTGAGCTTGTCTGGATCAACTGGCCCATTCATTTCTCCAAAACTCTTCTTCGACTCCGCTTCCTTGTTTTCTTCAGTGGCCAGGACCACACTTATTCCCATCATATCCTGCAACACAACATTTTCATGCGCGCAGATGTTGTCACTGGATACCGGTGTCGCATCGAAGTATCTGTTGCTGCCGTCCATCTTTTCTTTAAGTTCTTGAACGAATCCAATTGAAAAATTAACTTATCCAACTGTTATATGCAAACGCACATCGCCGGTATATGAAGCGTGCCTGTAAAAAAGTTTTGATCATATTAATATTACGTAAAACTGAGTGTATAGAAGCTTTTACTTTAATCGAGGTATGCACGTAGTACTGTAGTACATACCGTATTTTAAAATGAAACCACAGTACATCAACCAGCGTATACACTGTCCAAGAAGTGCCAACAATGGTAACGGAAGTTCTTAATTTAAATACACTTCATAGTCGCGTGCGAAAAATTATCGGCAATGAGTTTCACTTTTTAATTTTAAGATAGCATCCTGTAAGGTATTATCGTACGAATGCTTAAGAGAACGTTGTGGTTACTTGCAGCGGTGCAAATTTGCACATCTCAAGTGATAAATAATTATTATGCATATCGTTGTCAGTGGAGTACGACAAGAACTATCTAAAATGAAGTCACCGTCCCTTATGCTGCATGATTTCATTTGTTATCTTGGTTTTAGCAAGCTTTCAGCTCTTGTACGTAAAATGTCGACCGGCAATGTTTGATTTCAGATGGTATTGTTCGTATCAGCAGCATTGAGTAGATATTTTAAGTTCCTTATTGGCGAACACTCCTATTATCAACATCACAACATGCATCTTCTATAGCAGTTGATACATTTGCACACATGCAGACCACATATTGTTCTGTTACTTCTGTAAAGTACTCATAAGTCAATATAACGGCCCTGCAACTCTGCGGTAAATTTGCCAAAACTCCCTTAAAAGACACAGCTAAATCTGTCAACACGCGCCGGCACAACACTCATTTTGAAGTTTTATTAAAACGAGAAATGGTGGAACTTTTGCGGCAGGTTCATTGAACCGTGACAGGTTCTTATATGCGGTATACGACTAGAATCAGTCGTAGCATATATGAAACTGTAGTTTCGGTTTTTTGTCTTCCATATCCGTGTGTAAACAAAAGTAATTTTTGGCGCCCGTAGAGTACGGAAGGGTCCGGCCGGTTGAAGGAAGCGGTGGGGCCTAACAGTCATGTGACATGAGTCATGTGACATGCGTCGAGTAACGATGCGTGAAACTTGTAGATGGCGTTGTTAGCTCGGCATCTTTTTTAGGTTACATTATGTGCTCCTACATTATGTAGAAGCACCTTGCAATGTGCTCGTACATTATGCAGTAGCACAATGCATCGGTTTCATCGGTTCTTGGAGGAGAAAAACGGAACTGTAGTTCCCAAACAAACGTAATCCAATATGCTCCTGCAATGTGCTCCTACATATGTAGGAGCACATTGCAATGTGCCCCTATGTATATGTGCTCCTACATATGTAGGAGCACATTGCAATGTCTACATATGTAGGAGCACTTTGCAATGTGCTCCTACATAATGTAGGAGTACATTGCAGGAGCATGTTGTATGTGGAGATTATAAGGGGTAGAAATATAAAGTGCTGAATAGAGAATTTCATAATATAGTAAATTATATTAAAGGTGATATCTTTGACGAAAAGTGATAATGAAGAAAGGGTGTACTAATCCAGTGTAGCGAAGAAAGGGTCTACATTGAATTTGGGTGAAGATGAAGGGATTTTTACTGCAGTATGGTATAAATATATTTGACTTTCTGGTTTTTCGTATTTGAGTGTTTTATGAAGTGTTACAGGAAGTGAAGTGTGTTTCGGGTTGTAGATAGTGATGGATTATTGTGGAAAATTCAAAAAATTTCGAGAAAGTTGATTGCTTAATGGAGCAGACTATTATGTTTTGCTCTGATAGTCTTGGATGTGTAGGAACAGGTGGTTTGTATATGGGAAGTAGGTTGGTAGTTACATTAAAAGGTTGTTCGAGAAAATGGATAGTTTAATTGGTTTTTTGACTGGATTTTTTGAGTTCGGTGGGTATAAAAGAAGTTGAGGAATCTTGTGTTTGAGTTATTATGGAGTGAACGAAGTATATAGAGTGAGCAAAAGTTTTTCTTGTTGGTTATTTTTTGGTGGCCGGTGTGGATTTGTGGATACTTACTGATTCAGGTTGCTGTCTTTTGTTTGGCTCTGGTAAGTCTTTTTAGGTTGAGTATGGTTTAGTAAGTTTTCTTTCATACATTATTTTCGTTTAAGAATTCTTTTTTTAATAAAATAATGGAAGGTGGTTGTGATTGTAAGAAATACATGCGTGAGTATATGCGTGATTATAGAAAGAAATGCAAAATCGAAACTGATGGTAATTGTAGCAGGGAGGATAATGTGGAAAGTGGTGATGATGTTAGATATGAGAATGTAAAAGTTAAAAAACAAAAATGTAATCGGAATACTAAAGGTGGTGCGTTTTCTGGTATGTTTGGAAAAAATTATTGGACAATTTTTGTAAAGGGAACGTGCTAAACGACATTTGCGGAGTATGGTAATGTGTAATGGTTGTCCGGATCTTTTCTTAAGCATTACTTAACGATTTTGTCCTGAAGTGTTGTGTTTTGTTGACCCTGTTAAGTTTACATTTTCGTTTTTTAACTTCAAATTTTCATGTCTAACATCATCACTACTTCATTATCTTCCTTGCTACAATTACCATCAGTTTCCGTTTTGCGGTTTTTTCTCTATAATCACGCACATACTCACGCATGTATTTCGTATTTCTTGCGATCACAACCAGTTTCCATTATTTTATTAAAAAAAAAACAGTACTTAAAAGAAACTATCTATGAAAGCAAACTTACTAAACTATACTCAACCTAAAAAGACCAAAGCCAAACAAAACACAACAACCTGAATCAGTACGCTTCCGAAAATCTAAACCGGCCACCAGAAAATAACCAACAAGAAAAACATTCTCCTCACTACATATACTTCGTTAAAACCATAATAACTCAAACACAACGTTCCTCAACTTCTAATATACCCACCGAACTAAAAAAATCCAGTCAACAAACCAATCAAACCAAACATTCTCTCGAACAACCTTTTAATGTACGTCCCAACCTACATCCCATATACAAACCACCTGTTACTACACATCCAAGACTATCAGTGCAAAACATAATAGTTCGCTCCATTAAGCAATCAACTTTCTTAACTACACAAATTACTACTACACAAATTACTACCACTAAAATGACTGTGTAAACCTATGGAAAGTTACAGATTAAACGCGCAATTTTCAAGGTCTCAACTGTAGTAAAGACACACCCACAACCTCTCATGTCCTTCATACACTCACAAAATTCTTTCCCTACTATTATTATTCCTTTTATATACACAAATCCGAAATTATTTTAAATCCCAGTATTCCTCTTTCTTATCACGTACCTGCCGCTACACAATCGAGAGATTGTCCACGTAGTGTATAAAAAAGCACATCACCCGTTCGTCAGTTCTTACTTAATATTTCGCTTGTGTTTGCTTCCGAGTCTCGACAATACCGGCGGCATAAAGGAAATGTAACGAATATTTAAACAGGATTCGATTTCTCGAAAACGTGTGGTTAGAAGTACCCATTTTTATGCAGTCATGTTGTACTTCCAGCCCGGTGACCCGTATCTGACATTTCGTTAATTGTGACAGCATAACCAAGGTGTAATATGGTTAGTGTAGGGTTTATCCTTTATATTATACACCTTGGCATAGCTATCATTACAGTAATTTTGTAAACGATGCAACAACTTACAACCGATACGACCAATAGTAACCCACAGTTCTAACTAGAATAATACTAAATTGCTAATATATGTACGGTATTACAGTTACTTACTTTTGCTGCGAGGGCACTTTTATGGCATTTTTACAGAATGTCGATTTTATAGACAATTAATTTTGACATATTATACCGGTATCTCGACTATTTTCGCTTTACAAGAGACTCGATTGCAAAAAATTACTTAATGCGATTGTGTTATAATTTCGGACAATCAGGGAAGCAGAATTAAGAATTCGAAACCGATCTTCCGAATTACGGTAATTATGTACAGTAAGTGGTTGCTACTGGATAGTAGACTGCCTTTTTTCATAAAGTATATCTTTTTTATCATGTTAATCTCATTTCGCTGTGCCTGCAATTTGTAGGTAATAGAATTCCACTGCCGTAGTCTGCCGGTTTACGCAAAAAAAGTGTGAAAACTGCAAGGGTATTCGCAGTTCGAGAGGAAAAACAAACGAAGATTCCTTTGCATTCCTGTAGGTTTATGCAGTTTTGAGATTTTTGTGCTTTGCAAGTTTGCAGCAAACTTGCGCAATAGGTGACCGCAGGCTCTTGATGATCAATATTGATGAGGATTCGCGTATGCTGATGTTGCATGGGCGGGGTTTGCTGTAACTATTCCCATTGACAGTCTAGAAAATTCATTCAGCGCCTGCCCGCTTCTGATGTCGCGGTACTTATGATATATTCTGTTGAATAATCTTGCTTTTCAGCTTTTGTTTTAGATAACTTCGACCAGTCTTTTGCTGCGGGGAATTAGGAATAATAATGTTTTGCATTTGTGTCTAACTCCACGGTAAAACGAATCCTTATTGAGTTCATTAAGCCTTAAGCCCAGCACACTGGAACGGGATTGCGAATCAGTGCGCGTGTGTTCTGCGTCTAGGAATCCGTTATACTTATCGATAATCAGCTGCACTGGACTGGACTAGTTTGTTCGACTTGTCTGCGAAAATTTGGCCCTATCCATCCTCAAGTATCCGTATTTAGCTTACAGCGGGTTCATTGTATCATAGCCCAGTCTCTCTCCGGGAACAGTGGAGAGTGGGGAGAGGGAGAGAGAGAGCAAGTGAGATTCATGCACAACGGGCAACGGGGGAAGCGACTTCCTTCCATATTATCCCAGGATCAGTGCTCTGGTTAGGGAATCGGGCCATACATGCTATACAATCAGCTCTCCCTCTGTGTCGGATCCGATCCCGTTTGACAGCTGACTCATTCGTCCATTAAGTGCAATCTAAACGGATTGTATTGTGTTGTACGACACATTTTCCCCTGAGCGCGCGTCCCGGTTTGTGTACAACACCACCAATACTTTTCTATGCTACCCCCATCGATGAAACCTGGCTGGTATTTCCTCCATAAAACATGTGAGTATGATGCTTTTCATGGTGTAGTTTCATAGAGACGCTGTTGAGTGTACGGTGGAGCATGATAGAAATATGAGCGCTTTACTCTTGTCGCTGTCCTAGTTTATGCCCAGCGACCTGCAACAACGACGATGAGGGTTCTTGGCAGGCCAGGTTCATGTCAATCTGGCTATTGTACAGTGTATAGGGGATTTATGTGAATTTGTTTACACTTGACGATTAACAACGTTAAATTTGCAATGATTTGCTGTTGGCCGACGACATTAATCTTTTTCCAAGCTATGGAACTCTTGACCTGATTTTTCTTCCCATTCGATTTTTGTAAGTGCTGCTCTCTCCCTATAGCGTAACGCACTCTCCACAGCAGCATCACTCTGGTAAGAGGGGAGAATTTTCGCGTATGTTTTTCAGTATGCTCGTTGATCCAAATCGCATTTCGTTCGTGGAATGGCGTTTGGGGGTGCTCTGGCTTACGTATTCTTGATTACGCGTCGAGATGACTCTTCCCTTACGTTATGTCTAATTTGTTCTGGCATTTCATATCTGTTCGCATTTTTTATGAGTTAACTCATGTGTGGCTTCCGTAGCGCGCGGATGTCTTGCGGTATGTTCACTATTTTGCTCACTGGAGAGGTTTCGGATTTCTACCACCGCAATTGCGATGGCCATTAGTTATTTTCATAATTATGCATATGCGCTCAGCAGCTTTGCATTTGCGATGGAATATAGAAATAGATCAGACGCGAGTAATAGATTTGGCGCAGTAAATTTGCACACCGTTTTATGTTGTAATTAGTCCGAGGCGATAGATAACAGCTGGACAATTGGTTTTCTGATCTTGGGAATCGGTGAATGTCCCACTGGCCCCCAAGAAGTGATGCTTGTTTTTCTTTTTTTCCATTAATCGTTTTTCCCTAGCCTGACGTGCTTGTTGAATGAACGATTTATTGAAAAGGCAACCTCTGGGAAATCTCGTTATTCGGCCGGTATGGAGATCGTTATTCGTTATTGCGCACGTTTTCTATTGCTTTGTACAGTTGTTAATTGGTTTCTGCGTGTTACTTATGTGCCTATTCAGACGATCGGAGCATGTGCTTCCTTTTCCGGCCTTCCGCATTGGGTGAATTCATTGCGAATTCCTTTCATTAGCGGTTACGTAGGTTGCATGATTTTCCCCATGAATTATATTCTGCTTTGCTTTATAGTTGTTGAAATACATGTTGAAACACTTTTTCTGGCTGATTTAGTTTTGATTAGTTGTGTACCTTGTGTATATCAATTAAAGTAGAGGTTGCATTTGCAAACAAGGATAATGCTAATCATTAGACCTGCTTGAGTGCTCGCATTTGCTTTGAAAATGCTTGAAGTTAGTTGGGTTCTGTTTGCGACTACGACTTTTGCATTTATGTTGTAGCCAGTAGTAGTACAAACTGCGAGAAACAAAATACTTCGTATCTTGTTTTAATTAGTTTGCTGTTTAATGTTAACGATAATTCCTTGTTTCGCGTTTTGAGAAGTCTCTTTTTTATGAACCAAAGTTTGTGAAATGATAGAATTGGGTGCCACTGTGCGGTATGTACTGTAGTCGACTGGCGACGACTGCCATGTGTAAAATCTTGCGTTATGTGTAAAATCTTGAAACGCAAGATTTTACTGGTACTGTTTAGATACCTGGTACTGGATTTAGATATCAGTTGGTAGTAGTTTACAAAAACAACAACAAGAGCAGCTGCAGGAGTACAAAATTAAAATTTAGACCTTATGAAACAGAGAATTATTTTCTTTTCTGTCGAACTTTGATATCGTTGGTGATTTCCGGAGCAATAAGTGTGCTCTCTGTCTATTGTATACTGCGGTTACGATTTGTCGAATGTTTTGCAGCGGTAATAAACGTGCGAAATCTGATTCAAAAACGATTGAATGGTTTGTTATTGTTGTTGTTAAGGTCTGGAAAAGCGGAAAGCAAGTCAAGTATGGAGCTGGCCAGTAGCTTTCTGCTGAATGAAGACATTCTTCAGCAGCTTCCGGAATCGAAGAAGAGCCTATTTGTCCTGGAATGGCTGCGGCATTTGCACAGGATTCTACAAGCGGCCAACCGGTCGGATGTGAAATCCAGCCAGAAACAACTCCAAGAGCAGCTCATCAAGCAAATGCTCTTAACACCCGGCCCCCCAGTCCGCTACTATCTGGCCAAGTGTCTGGCGGCACTGTTCGCTGTGGGAGATTCAGTGGGATTATTCGATATCATCAATGTATGTAATGATCAAGTCAAACAGAAGGATGACCCAGCATTGCTCAGTCAGCGCCTGGCCGCGCTGGAGATTCTCGGGGAGATGTATGAGAAACTGGGACGCATGGTCGGCCGATCGTACGAAGAAACCGTAACGGTTTGTTTAAGAAATTTAAAAAGTGCCGAATCTCAGACCCGGATCGAAATCATGAAAACGCTGGAGAAAGTCATTACTGGCATGGGGTCGGCAGCTGCCTCCCATCACAGGTAAATATTTACTTGCTGGATGGGGTTTGTAAAAACTGCTTAGCTCATGGGAGATTTTTCTCAGATTGCAATGAGAATTGCAATTTTGAATTGTATTGTGAGTGAGGGTTAAATGCGGTATTGTAGTATGTAGAATGATGAGTTTCATAAGCTTGAAATAAGCTCGGCAGTATTTAGTTTGTCAGAGAAAAAACAATACGATTAATAATTTTTTGAAAGGTGACTGCCATTATATTGGTTACTTAATCGCTTTTTGGGTATTTAGCTGTTGATTTTTAAAACACTCTCCATAAATCCACAATAATATTATCGGCAATAATAAGTAATTTTCTTAATTTTAAAAATAATTGATTCCTATGCGTAATAACACTGAATAATATTCGTGAGTAATGTTAACTTGTAAGTTGCTTGCCGACACACGTATGTTTGGTAAATATTTGATATTGAAATTTCGTTGCATTTCGTATTTTTTGTATAATCATTTATTGATTTTTTTCCTTCTTATCAAAAATAAGAATTAACATCTGTTTCCAACGGGAATAACGATGACATTGATCTTGATTTCTTTTCTCATTAATCTGCATTGGTCGGGCTCATTTTCTGTTCGTCACTGGAATTTCCCTGCGCGCCAAATGCACACTTCAGATATTTTACGACTTTTTTCGATTACGCTTAATGTTGTTGTCGGTGAAAGTTGGGACATTAGGCTGGCAGTTTTGTTATCGAACAGCAAACATTTCCGTCTAGTAATCAGCTTTAGCTGGATATGGAAAATGATGGCTGGCTGGATTGGGATGAGTTAGACGCGGGCTGGGTGCAATTGGTTTTTTAGGTCCTTCCGGGATTTGTCTGGAGATTAGGATTATATAGGGGTAGCATTAAAATCACGTTATATGAGAACAAATCGTACTGGAAAGAGAAATCAGGAGAATATAATGAGAGAGCAAGCCAGCATCGAGATTGAAGACAGAATAAAATTTGGACTATGTTGACGGTTTGGGTGCCGCCGTATGGAGTATTGGGATGAAGTTCAAAAAAGTGTATAGCAAAATTAAACACAGTCCACGGATTTAATGTATTGCTTATTCAGATAAATAATCGATCAAATCTCCGATTATTTATCTTTTACTGAAAAACTAACTGATTCGAATTACTGCAACCATGTCCTGAATTACTGTAATCAAATTTCAACCATGTTATGAGCACCGAAGATATTGTTAGGATATCGGTTACTTACACTATCTTAAACTCGATGTGTTGTTGACGAAATAGAAAATATACTCTGTTTAGGCTTTACAATTTATTGTGTATTGTTTGGCTTATGTTTGTATGGCACTCTTAATGTTCCTCTTTTATTAAAATATAATCGGTATAGCGTCCGAATTAAGTACATCTTGTTTGGTTCGATGAACTCGGTCAGTAATTGCCGCAAAATCACGTTGATCACTGTGGGATTCGTTAACATTTAATCGCCTGTCATGATGGGGTGACTCGAGCGAGGTTACCAGTGGCTGTGGCTTTTTGGGTTAGTATACTCCATTTTCGCAGGTTTATGATATTTAGGGAAGCAGTAAATAAATGGTGTATGCGTGACCGCAGAAGATTTTAAGGATCAGAAATTATAGATGTGGGCTGCAGTTTTAGCATGACGCAATCAGAGGTGCCTAAAATTGGATGCTTCTCGTAAACAGCAACACTCACCGCTGCAACGAGGCGTGTTGGTTGTAGCGTTCTAGGGAATAATCTCGTATATCATGTGGAAAGTGATGAGCTGTTGTGGTTATTTTTTTTGCATTTGAAACGGAAATATTCCGAAGAACGGAAGAAGTATGACAAAGCACAAATTCACCGCTGCTTTATGACTAAACTTTTCTATATTTGATAAAATAATTTGCACCACCAATACGTTCAGTGATTTGAGGCATGCAGAGTTGACATGAGATTAGTACATTACAATTTTAACAAAACACACAGTTCAAATATGACGGGAGTCTTCAGTATTATTTTACTTGAAGTAAACAGTTATTTTGTTATAATTTATCACACGACTTACAGTAAACTAAACTGTAAACTGCAGATAATGCGAAGATGTCCGGTTAAATACATACTTTCTGTGCATAAGTTTGAACGTTTGCAGTTTGCACAAAGTTTATCGTTTATGTAATATGTGTAGCCAGCTTTTGGTTAGTTTACAACTTGAGGAGTGACATTGTAATTGTAGACAGTACGAATCTTGTTCTCGCGATGACCGTGAAGAATGTTCCAACAGCCAACGCACGAATTATATGACAACTGTGTTTACGTATCATGTGTGTTTGTTGCAGAGAAATCCACAAGCATCTGCGCACAGCAATGACAGACCGGATCATGGCAGTGCGGGAAGCGGCTGCTCGTTGTCTGGAAGCGCTAGCACGAGAGAGCACATTTCTGTATACGGTTGAACTGGAAAGCTGCGTCTCATTAGCGTGCCGCGCCATGGAAAACTCAACATATGACGTTCGTTGTGCTGTGGCATCGTTTGTGGCTGCCGTCTTGTCCGCTGCCCTGACAGCTTCCCATTCCGGCCCAACCGGCAAAAATGCGCCAACGCCAGCCGCAGCTAAACTGCAAAAGGTCGTTACCGTCGATGAAGTGCTCAGTCTCTTAGCGTCCATGTTTCTGCGGGGTGGAGTGGGCTTTCTGAAAACCGGCGCCAGTGAGATGATCCGCGGGACCACCGTTGTGCCCAAGGAAGTGCGCATTGGAACAGCGCACTGCTACATGGCGTTCCTGAAGCGGATGGGACCGCAGTGGCTGGAGAAGAACTTGGCCGTAGTGCTCAATAGCTTGATCGACTTGGTGGGGAATCCGCGCAGTAATACGACGCATGTTGACACGATCTATGCCCGGAAATGTGTGACGTGCATTGTGAGAGCGTCCGTGGGTGGGCTGTTGGGGGAGAAGGCCCAGCTGGTAGCCGGACGGGAGCTGGTGAATATACTGTACAAATACGCCACGGCGCCCGACGTGCTGGTGGAGAGTGGCGCAGCGGAAAGGAATGCCGACACCAGGCAGCATATTTTGGTATGATAGAGACGACAACCGAGAGTGTATGCACAAAATAGTTAGTATTGCCGGGATGAGGGGGTGATTGAAAAAGTGTGTTGACATAGGGGGAAAATTAATACCTGCCGGGCATTAGAAAATTCATTTTGACTCTGTCGGTTTATTTGGTCTTTTGTGGGGATTTGTTGACTTAATTGGCGCAAGAGAAAAGGCTATCATATTTAATCCAGCTGAGTACATGATTGATTGCCGCACGAATGGTCACAGTGGAACATTTCATCATTTTTTACCATCACAACAGAAAAATATTGAGTGTAATTAAGCGGTTGTGCATTCAGCGAAAAATTGTTCTAACAGTGATCGTAACAACACTCTTTACATAGATTTTATGCGAATAGGTTTGGGTTTTCGTTTCATATCTACATACAGATAGTCACTTTATTCGGCGTTGTAATAAATCCTACTACAGTCTTGACTGCAGGAAAATCCTACTACAGTCTTGACTGCAGGAACATCCAAACCCATGAGCTCGTGAAGATAATTAACAATGATTTATGGGAAAGTTTACCCCAATCTCTTTCTGTCCATCATCATTTGTATAGGGCATGAAAGGAAGGGATCAAATGGTTAGTTTTTTGTCTGTAGGGATATTTGTTTCGTTGTTGCTTCTGGATCATTAAGCATGTATAGACTGAGAATAAAACCCCACATTGGTTATCTGATAGTTCCAATTATTGGTATAATTTGTCCTGCTTTGACGAAATGTCGTAATCGATCTATTTTCTGTGGGTGCGATTAGAATGCGCTTGCCATGGTGCACCGCATCCTATTGCTTTGCAGTGCATTAACCAAGACATAGCGGAAATTGTGTCCTGCCCTTTGACGAACACACACAATATCGTCCCATTATGTACATTTTGACGTGCCCTTAATGTGCAGTTCCTGATCTACTTTAAATGCGCTTTCGTGCTCAATGTGGTTTCCGATGGGATTTTAGTGTGGCAGCAAAAATGTCTTGATTGACCTTTAACCATTTTAAGCAGCTTCCCATTTAGTGCATAGCGGTGGGGATAATTGATATTGCTCGCTGTATAGATCGCAAAGGCGAGAACAGCAGTTAAAATTCACAGCATTCACTGGAGGGATGCATCCTTCTTAAACATTACCAAGAAATATAAGCTTCCGCACCAATATTTGAAATGATATTCCTGCAAATGAAAAATGAATTAATGGAATTTCAAATCGTTTGTTCTTGCGATTAAGTTAATCCCTTTCCTCCTTAAATCCTTTTTCGAAATAATTCGGGTTTACTTCGCCATATCAGATTCCCGAAATTTATGTGATTTGTTTTTGGAAAACTGAATTTTTTGTACAAACGGTTTGATGCTTTTTTGTTTATTCACAATCAGTCAATTAAGCTGGTTTGGTTGCACAGCCTCTTGAACAAAAATCGTTATCTATATGTGCTATACTTGTCGGCTGGTTAGTGGTTACCGTAGTGTCGGAATCTCCTTTTGAAGAGACCATCAAATAAATATAACAAACTCGATTATGAGAAACTCTATTATTCAAATGCGACTAAAAATCAGATTTCTGAAACGTATAGGTATAGGCAATTTGACCAGGTTTTTTACCTAGTCCATCTCAAACTCTGTGGCTTCATGTATTGAAATTCATAAAATGGAGTCTAACTATAAGGAGTAAAAAGGCAGAAATAATTTGGCATTTCTTTACAATATATATATATGTTTCTCCGTAGTGATTCGAATTTTTCGATTATCTAGATTTGCGCATTGGAGCAGCTGCAAACTGTGATTATGGAGTTGGACAGTGTGACCGTGAATCTGACAGCTGACGCCGGTCACAACCTGATTGACGTCACTTTGGCGATTGTGGTGTACCCAAGTCCCAATGTCCAGCTGGCTGCCGCGTGGACGCTCCGAAATATTGTCAGTGTTCTTCCAACGCAGATGGTCCCGATTCTCAATCGCTTACTGAGTAAGATCGAAGACACGAAAACATTTCCGGAAGGTATTGTTGGCTACAGCTACGGCCTGGCCGCGGTGATCGGTGGCATATCCGACTCGCCTCTCGGCATTCCCCACCGGCTGGTGGAACGCGCCTTTAATTTAGCCGAAGAACTGCTGCGTTCCGCGGCGTCTAATTCCAGATTATCCCAGCAGCGAACGGAAGCCGCTTGGATGATCCTGGGTGCCATAACCAGTCTGGGCAGCGCCTCTATGAGGAAATATCTCCCCAAGTATCGGCATTTATGGCGGAATTCTTTTCCCCGTTCGGATAAGGAGATTGAGTCGGAGCGGAAGCGGGGTGATGCTTTTACATGGCAGGTGTCACTGCAGAATCGTGCCGGTGCCCTGGCGGCCATCCATGGATTCCTGGTTAATTGTCCGGAGTTGGTGACGGAGGATGTGCTCAGTAAGATTATGGTGTCTATTGAAGGTGCCATTGCGCTGTTGGGCAGCATTTCCGAATGGATTAAATCGTACGGGCAGCATATGAAAGTCCATCTGGCGGCGGTGAGGGTGCGATTGTATGAGATCCTGCTGGTGTTGCCGGCCAAAAATTGGCTGTGTGAACTAAAGAAACCGGAAACAGTGCCGGCAGCTGTAATTAAAGGGGTGGTGGATGAATTCACGCTCTCGGATAATGCTTCCAATACGACGACGTCGCTGCTGCGAGCGCTGTGCCGGAATGAAGATGCCCTGCTTCTGGGACACTGGTTACAGGTGCGTGCGTTTTTCGAATATCCATTTATTTGTATCCAGCTGTGTCTAACTAAATTCGAATGGTTTTTGAAACTAAAAATAAAATTATCTTTTCTGTTATTTAAAAATCCACGTCAGTGAGGAGAACAGGAATTTGAAAATAAATATTCAGTAGTATTGAATTTTTGTGCAAGTGTTCGACGCATATTAGAGTAACTGTTCGATTACGTAAGTGATACTGTTATTAACTTGACATTGTACGCTGGGATGATTGTGTTTCATGCGGGTAGTGAATGTTGGTCATTACATTCAATTTAGCGTGTAAGGGGTAGGACGCTTTATGAGCTATCCCAGGACCATAATCGAAAGTGTTGCTGGTTGGCTGTGCGGGATCATTGACATTCGTCCAGGAGGAGATGTAATTGCATTAAATTATGTATGCCTTCTTGACAAAGTACGAGCAGAGTGCTCTTGGCCGGGCTGGTTTTTTGCTGATAGATTGCGTTATCTGGAGTATGAGGGTCTGACTTGAGCAAAGGAAAACCGAGAGGGGATCGATAGCATAAAGTTATATTTTACTTTATGGAGTTTGTGCACGTTCAGGAGACATTCATGAGAGTCCTGACAGATGAAAATGGCCGGCGTGTGTATACTCTTGTACGGAAGTTGCTTAAATATTCATGAGGCATACGTTATTGACGTAGAGGGACGTCAGCGTTTTATGTCCGCTTGAGAAAGTCGGGATGTTGCTGTTGTTGAGGATAGGTTTCCACAGACAGCTGCAGCGGAGCGCACTAATGTATTTTGCACGTCTATTGAGACGGTCTTGTTGTTTGAAAGATTGCAGCTGGCGAAAAGATATTTTCTCTCCAAATAAAAAGAAAATTTTTCGACAGTGGGTTCGGCAAATACAGACACCATGCGGCAGATGCACCGCTTGGAGTCGAAATTATAGCTCCTGGGATGAAAAAGATCATAGTAGCAAAGCCGCAATTCGGCCTTGACTGTGTGATTCAATCTCTCGGCGGTAGTTGGGCGTTGTTAATTTGCTGGGGATTTGTCTGCGGAAGCCGTTAGCAGGATGGGAAGGGAGATCATTGCCTTTAATGAAAAAAGGGCTTTAAGTAACGATCATTGTCTTGTTCAATTTCCCCTCCATTTCGGCGAAAACTACCCAAAAGCTTGTGGGAAAAAGATTCTCGTTACAAATGACTAAATTTAGCGTGGACGAAATTCGCATTTCATCTGACATTAGCGGGATAAATGAGCCGCAGCATTGCTGGCCGCTTGGCAGTGATCGGTGATGTAATTTTATGTACGAGATCATTACTGAAATGAATTGATGACCTTCGTTCCGTTAGAGGCGCAGTGCGCTTATGCTGTGAGGATCTTACGTACCAACATGAGTTTCTCCAATTAGTTTTGATGTCTCTCAGCTTTAGGGTCATGCGCTTAAAGCTAGCAGCCGAAAATATTTACGGACGGTATAATGATGTTTTTCCAGTAATTTATTATCCTGTTACCGAGGGCGGCGGATCGAATTGCAGACCGCGAAGCGTTTCATTGCTTTATGGTTAGCAGCTTAGAATAGCATATGCATGTGATAGTTCTGGACTTGACAAGAAAAAAAGAATGGTCACCTAATCGTATTGAAACAGTAGATTTTTTCTTATGAAAAGTATTTCAATCATCGCGCACATCGGTTGAGGTGTTAGGTTTCTGTGATATAAGGACTCTTGTAAGGAGTGTCTCGTTAACGAGTAGAATAGCATTTTAATTGGTACGTAGAAATCAGCGCGTTTTTCGTGCCTGCAATTCTTCACCCCTCAACAAGTCCTAATGATTTCCTGGTAAAATTAATTAGGATCGCGCATTCTTTCTCGCATCGAGGGGTGTTATCCGCAGCCAAGGGTGTGTAATTGAATTTCAGTGTTTTTTTCTCGTCTTGCACACAGGACACCGATCAGAAATTGATTGAAGAGCAGCTGCAGCCCAACAGTGCCTCGGGTTCCGGCAGCCTGGAGCATGACGCCACCACGCTCTACCAGAAATCCGACGACATTCCTACACCTCTCCCCATCGGGGTGGCGGTCATCGATCTGTCCTTACAGCTATTCGGGCGGATGTTCCCCTATCTGGCCGCTAAACACCAGCAACAGATCCTGGAGCATCTGTTGACCTGTGTCCAGCAGGCGAAGACCGTCCGCCAGCAGGCGATGCTGATTAATGTCTTCACGGCGATGTTGGCGGCGTTGAAGAGTCTGGTGGAGATGAAGGCGGAGCCGCCAACCGAGCCAGTGGTGAACGGGTTCATCAATTTAATCAACACCGGGATCAGGAGTCCCAGTCCGATGCTGCGGTGTGCGGCCGGGGAGGCGTTGGGGAGACTGGCGCAGGTGGTGAATGACCGGAAGTTTGTGGCGGATACGGTGCAGCGGTCATTTGACATGCTCAGGACATCCCGGGATATCATATCGAGGACAGGACATTGTATGATCCTGGGATGCTTGCACAGGTAAAATACATGGAGCAAATAAATGAGCTGGTATTGTAACTTTAATTTTTATTGAAAAAGAATATTACGCAAAATACATACGAAACTTCGTCGCAGAGCATAGGTACTGTATTATTATTAACAGTTACTGCGCCAAGATTCGAAACGATATACTTCTCAATAATAAAAATTAAGATCTTCCTAAAGTGCGAAGAAAAATTTAAGCTTAGGTTTTCGTGGCTGCTCTGAGTGCCGAAAGAACAAAAAACAGAATTGTCCCGTCCTGGAATGCTAATTTATTTCTGCGACATTGAAAGATATGCTTTTTCGTTATGGTCACTGTTGAAAAATGCAGAGAATAATACGTAAAATATTGAATGACAGTTGCGAACCTATGGTTTGCCGAAGCGGAGAATAGTCCCCTTTTTGCTGTTTGATTACATAATACTACGTAATGCCCTGGGAAATGTATAAAGGGTAACCGTTGGACAAAAAAGCTGATTTGATAAAGAATGGTTTGTTGAGTTTGGTTGGTGATCTACTTTCCCACTTGACGAAATGAAGATCGATGGGGTAGAAGCATTCATTCCTGCGTTTGAACCCAGGAAACCGTATACGGGCTGCGGGTATGAACTTGAACAAATACAAATAACGAAGCGGCAAATAACCACTAGCGGGATAGCACAAAATGGATGCCCATTGTTGGGGATTGGGTTGCGTCGTGCAGTGGAGGACTTGAAGTGTGACGGGTAAAGTGTTTGCGCTGCACGATGCACACCCCTTGACCTCAGGTGTAGTGAGGGATAATGAAATTTTTTACACCATACTATAAATTAGTATTGTGCCTACCTGGATGAATGGCAAGTGGAACGTTGGCGAGTAACGAGGGGGATGTTGGCGTAAAAATTTTATTGATAATCAATGTTCTTTGTCAACGGAGAAACCACACAACGTATGCGTAATTGAATAAGTGGCTTTTCTTGCTAAACAGATCCCACATCCCCAGTTTCTTTCTTTTTTTTAAAATAAAAAATGTCAAAATGTAAATTTAATTCTTTTGCTACGCATAGTTCGCACATAAAATAATTCAGACATTCGCTGGTAACCTTTAAAGCTTTTTCTATGTATAAAAATTTGTTGCAATAAGAGGCCACTTTTCTTACATTATGCTTGTGTGATTCGGAGTTATTATTGTCAACATGAATTTTTGCGAATACTATTTCGCAGTTCGTATACCCGGGGTTTTTGTTTATTGTCTAAAAACTGTTCCGGTTGCACTGCAAATGTGGCGATGTTTATTATTATGTAATGCTCTGCGCCACTCACAGGAACATGTTACTTGTGTGCACTTATTTCTTGATAAATGGCAGGGGAAGGGTGTGCGTGCGGAACGCTTGCCAATTTGTGGACGGTGGTAGATTGTGGAGATGGTTAAGATTAATGTTTTTATGTGAACACGTTTTTCCTCCACTGTTCTGTGGTTTGGGCTGGATGATTAATAAAATTTCCCGATCAGAGCAGTTGGAGCGCGGTCGGTGCTCTTTTTCTTCCAGTGCTGACATTCCTCACTGATCCAGGGAATTCTTTACGCTCGAGGGGTAACAAAAGTGTATTGGTATTCACAAGAAAGACTTTAGCCGATCGGTTTTTCGCGAGACTATAATTATATGACTCTTGGAGGGACGCGTAAATAGCAACTGAGTGTTGCGCGCTGTGATTACCATGTAAACAGTGCGTGTCTCCGTCTCGTCTCAAGAAGCTACCGGTTCAATGCATACGGTGCTTGTGGGCACAGTTGTCTTAAAGGTCACTTAGGTGCACTCGGCAGCCAAATCAGTATAAGCGGTTTGATTCTGCCGTTAATGCTATAATATTAAATAAAAAAGAAAATTAAAGTGGGGCTATGCGAATAATATGACAGACATTTTATAGCAGAAACTGACTGTGTTGGTTTCGGTTGCATAATCACACAGTTAATATACTTTGCATTTTGCTTTGTAGGTATGTGGGTGCGATGGCATCTAATCAACACCTGAACTCGAGTGTTAGCATTTTGATGGCTCTCTCGGAAGACATCAACGCTTCGGTGGTGCAGACGTGGTCACTACATGCACTGTACCTTATTGCCGACTCCGGTGGTCCCATGTTCCGCAGTTACGTGGAACCGACACTGTCACTCTGTGTCAAACTCCTCTTAGTGGTTCCGCGTCATCATAACGAAGTCTTCCAGTGTATTGGCAAGTGTTTATCGGCATTGATTACGGCCGTCGGACCGGAGTTGGACGGGGCGCACGGCACAATTAGCGCTGTCCGTAACACATGCCTAATCGCCTGCGAAATGCTGCACTCATGTGCCACCACCGACTGGATTGTCCAGAGTGAAGCCGTTACATCCTTCCAGCAAATGCACATGTTTGCACCCAAACATGTCAACTTCACTCTGCTGGTGCCCCAGCTGGTTAACCATTTAAGTAGTCCCCATTTGCTACTCCGACAGTCATCCATCGACTGTCTACGGCAGTTATGCCAACGGGAAACCGGACAAGTGTGCGATATTGCCCGCAATACACAGGTAAATGTCACAACAGATGGACTCCCTACCTGCCGGCAGGCGGGTAATAATACGGTTTAATTTGGGAATTAAGCCGAGTAAATAAGGTCATCGGGGGATTAGTTACGGGTGCAGAAGCGTCCCGGGAACGCTGCAGCATTATGTGTATATTTAGACAATGCAGTGGTTTATTGTTGAATCTTCCGGCAGTGGCAGTGGGATATACAGAACAGATAATCCAGATACGTCGAAATACAAAAGCTTAAAAGAATCTTGTCAGCATTACTGAGTAGAGTCCTTAATAATCCATTGAACAGAAAATTGTTTACGGTTTCTTTTGGAGAGACATCCGTCATGTCCGTTTGACATGGCTGCGGTGCTTTTGTTTACTAAAACTGAAACATAGGTTTCTGCCGAGATTAATGAGAATTAATTATGGAAGTTTTTTTAGATTTATATGGCAGAACATGAGTAAACCACCTATGGAATTCTTTCTAAATTTATACATTGTTTTTTTTTTCTTGTAGGAATCTGTTACCGATGATGAACTGTGGTTGGCTATGCTGCTGTTTAACATGTTGGATTCGGAAAAGGATCCCAAAATTCGCAGCGGTATCCAGCTGATATTTCAGAGCATTCTTCTCTACGCCACCGAATCGCATTTATCCGCGTGGTTCGCTCTAAGCCGCGAAATCTTAACAACGAGCGATGTAGGCGGCAAATCTGGTCCTGAAGGCATTACCGAAGAAACCGACGAAAATGCCGAAGACGACGTCGAAGAGTTCCGTGCCAAAGCTCCCGGTGACAGTGAACCGAAGCGGAACAACGCTCGCTGGACAACCCGTGTCTATGCTGTCAGTTGCCTGCGCAAGCTGATTGTCTACTGCCGTGAAGCGCACACCTTCCACCTGGACGTAACACGGTCCAGGAAAGAGCACCACGATGCTCTCATTCTCCATTTGTCGGATCTGGTGCGGATGGCATTCATGGGCGCCACGTCAGAGAGTGACCAGTTGCGCATGGGCGGGTTGGAATTGCTGTTGGATATCATTGTGAATTTTGCGGCAATTGAGGAGCCGGAGTTTCCCGGGCATGGGATCCTGGAGCAGTATCAAGCCCAAGTGGGTGCCGCGCTGCGACCGGCATTCACACCGGAGACGCCGCCATATATCACCGCCAAAGCCTGTGATGTGTGCAGTCGGTGGATCGCCAGTGGGGTGGCGAGAGATATCAATGATTTGCGCCGGGTGTATCAGCTGTTGGTGCAGTCGTTGGATAAGTTAAAGATCTCCTTGAAGGACGCCAAGATCCCGTACAGTGAGGCGTCGGTGACGCTGGAGAAGCTGGCGATTTTAAAGGCTTGGGCGGAGATCTATGTGGAAGCTATAAAATGGCAGAAACAGTATGAAGAGATGTTGGCGCTCGTGCAGCCGCATGTGGCGTCACTTAGTCGGTCGTGGTTGGCGGCCATCCGGGATCAAGCATTTCTCAGTTTGCCGGCGGAGTTTTCCAATCAACTTCCCGTGGAAGGTAATTTTTTAATGGCTCACCAATTTTTGTAGCAATTTGTTGATTTTGCTAGTGTAAGGTATTATTTCATGTGTAATCGAGCAACATGGCTTATTTAGGTGGTGCCTTTTATTCCGTGGAGTCCATCGATGCAGCTCGCAAGTGTTATCAGAACTGCTGGTTACCGATCCTTTACGCCACGGTCACGTGGTGGTCCGGTGGGGGAGGTTATGAGAACGTTCTCCTAGAGAAACCGGATAGTCGTCTGGCGGTTCAAGATGGCGGGAATCTGGGCTTAGCCACACCCCGGGCGGGTGTCGCTCCCCTGCCGGCCGAAGAGATCAACCGGGCTCGCTTCAGTCTGTTCTTCGGGGCAGCCATGGAGGCCTTGTGTCAGTCACGCAGCGACGATATCAGTGATGACCAGTCGATGATTACCTGCCTGAAAGCGGCGCAGACGGTACTGGAGCTGGACTGGTCAAAAGCGGCGCTGTGTACCGATATGAACTGTCCACGTGAGACACTAAATATCATGCACCGCGTGGTGCTAACCAGGGAAAATCCGGCTGTGCAGGCGGAAGCGTTGCAGGTTGTCAAGAGTGTACTGCAGGCCGCCAGCGATTGCTTCCAACAGGAAAATCGAAAGAAGAACAAGGACGGTGGAGAAAACACTGAGAATGAAACGACCGTCGGGTTTTATGATATTGGAGAAGGTGGTAAGTATGAAAACTGAAAAATACACAGTTGATTTGTTCTACTTTTTACACCTTTTTTTGTGTTTATATTATTTTAATTACTTATGATTTATTTGTATAGGCGCATCAGGTGAAATTAATCCCGCCAAATCCACAGTCTTCGCGGCTGCCGAAGTTTTCTTCTGCATCCTCATCCGTAAATTTCCTTCGCTCAATCCCACCCTCAGATCCATCTCCCTCCACCAGAATCCCTCACAGAACCAGCCCGCCTACATTCAGCTGTCCGCCGCCACCATTTCATGCCTGCCCAATCTCCTCGGTCTGTGCTCACACCGCGGCACCCTCTCCGTCTTTCCCGTCATCCTCCACATCCTCCTCACCGCTCTGCGCCAGCTGGTGGAAGACAATGTTCCTTGCTCCGATCCGCGCTGCCTGGCCATTATCCAGTGCCTGCGCACCCTCAGTTCCTCCGCGTATCTCGATAGTCCCGTGGTGGGGCCGGAATGGGAGGGATTGCTGCGCTCCACCATTCTCCGCTTAACGGATATCGTCAAGAGTGTCTTCCGGGAGAAATCAACGACCGAAGCCAGCGTCAGCCTGATGCTGGCGGCCTCCGTCATCATCCTGACCGCGCCGGAGAGGGTCACCCGCGTGGGAAATATTTTCTATCCGTGTGTTAACATGTTCAAGCAGTTCCTGAACGTGCGGAATGTCCCGGGAATCCAGATGCAGACGCTGCAGATGTTGGGACAGATCTTTTTCCATCCGAATAAAGAACTGGCGGCGGCGTATATCCGGCATCTGGCCGGTGATATTCTGATTTCGGTAGACGGGAATGTCAATAAGGTCGATGTGAAGAATATCGAGGAGACGCTGCTGGTCACGGAACGGTTGAAATTGTTGGAGAATGTCGTGGAGGCGGCGGAACCGCGGCAGCGAGACGCCATAATTCGTTTCATCGCCCCGGTGTTTATTGCTTTCCTCCAGGAGCCCGGCGCTGTGAAGGGGCATGATTATTTGGCGAGATTACATGCTTTCTGCCTTAACCGGCTGCAGAAGATGGCGCCGGGGAATCCGGAAGGATTTCGCGCAGCCATTGCCCGCAACCCCGAACTGAAGAGCAGATTGGAGTCAGCATTGGCGGCTAGTAGTGGTGCACAGAAGAGTGCCGTCAACATGAACAGTACACCGAAGACCGCCAGGCGGATAGTGGCGGCGGGCGCGGAACAGCCCAGTATAAAATTAAAAATGGATTTCAGTAATTTTTCTTAGTTTTTAAAAAGGGCAGCTGCTGATTTTGTACCATTCAATTATGGTGTGTGCTAGAGTTTCGATTTTACTTTAATTTTCTGTGTGGTCCATTTCGAAGAGGTTTTATTTGTATTTTGAAGAAGACATTGTAAAATAATGTTATATGTACAAATTATATACGACTGACTGTTCAAACAAGCTGAAGAAGTGACCATTGATTTCCACCACTTCTGATATTTTATGCTGCTGCATTTCTTAAGAATACAGAACGTAAAACAGAGTCAAACAATGCCGTACAGTTAACCAGTCACCCTCAGAAATTAATCATTTAAAATGTTACCAAAATAAATGAAATATGCGCTTGGCACTCGTGTGGACATGTAGAAATCAGCATGAAAGTAAAACTCATTTTACGCACACAAAATTTTTGATCACACGTTGGATAAATTTAATATATTGTGAATAAAACAAATGAAAACTAACTACATTAGGCAACGGTGTTAGCTTCGAGCGATATTAATGCCAGTTCCCTTTACAATTATTAGTTCTCTCGGTTGTTTCCATTGTCCTTCCAAGCACGAATTCTAGCCGCCTCCTGGAGCCGAATGCCGGTGATCTTGATAAATCCATCGACATCGGCTGGGTTGTAATCATCTCCATCCTCAACTGCCGGACTGTACAAACATTTGAAAAACTTACTTTTAAAATCAGCATGAAACATTTAATCAAAATGTTTGAAAGTAAGCAAATGAGAAATTCTTATCTTAGCAATTATAAAAGTACGAGAAAGGTTCACCTTGCAAGTTTTTTGTTGTAATACGGAATGTGAGAATGGCGCGCGATAACGTGTGCGCCACCTTTGTATAACATTAATGTCACCGATCCGCACACTGAGTCCTGGCTTAGAGCGATACACTCCCGCGCGTACTTGCACTCCGGTGCGAACCAAAATCCTCGGTACATTTGATCCACAAATTGCTCAGCCATCATTTGCTTGAGTTTACGAACTTCCTGCATAAAATTTCAAAATCCAACCATTCGCAGGGTACATAATGCTAAATACCCGGTGTCTGGGCTGATACTGATAGTATGTAAGTATAGTATATGTATTTCTAAATTTCAGAATACATCTTAAGAATTTACTTATACGAACGCGTCAAATGCGTTCGAAAAATATAGTAGGTGTATTATAGATACATGAAATCTTGCAAAGGTCAAATATAGCGATCAAGCTCTATACCCGGTCCATTGTTAGCGTTTCCAGATCGATCTTCATGTGCGAGAAACAATATGTCGGCTCCCGGTGACTCGTAAATGCCTCGAGATTTCATCCCCATAGACCGATTCTCTACGATATCCAGTCGCCCTACCCCGTGTTCGCCCCTGTTCAGCAACCCTGTTATCGCATGGTCATTCTGACTAATTCGCTTGCTCGATATGTAAATCGAGCATACACTATTTATTATCGTTCATGACTGGGATTTTCTTACTATGTAATAGCCGTCGAAATTACCTAAACTACTTCACTGTTAAAATTTTACACATTGAAAAATAACCAGAATCTCTATCTTCCGTTTGTATAAAATTAGCGTTCATTAATCATTGTATACTTGTATTTGAGATTTGAGCATTTCAAATTGAAACGTTTAATGCGTTCAAACCAATAACAACATATATATAGAGGAGTAAGAGGACAGAGAGAGTTTAGTTCGATAAATATATGCATTGTAATTGGTTTAGTTTAGTTGTACAGTTAATAATTCTGCTAATAGAGAAACGTATAAGCTGAACCACTAAAGACATAGATGCTCATAGAAGCTGCTTTTACCGTATATGTGCCGTGACCGATCTTACCCAATCTTGTTTAAAAATTCCATAATTTCCACCGAACCTTCGTATACAACGTCAATACCCTTTCCACGTCCATTTCGGTGCAAAACTTTCACTGGGATTCCATTTTGAAAGAAAACGGTGACATGGGCTGGTTCATTGGGAGAATCTTTTGGATCAGTGGTCATCTCATACATGTGGCTGGGAGGTCGTTGAGCGGTTTCGTTTAACATGCTGCCTATTCGAAGCTTACGCTCATAATATTAGCGTCGGTGCTCCACGGTCGGTTTAAGCTGGCTGGAATAGGAAGGTCGTGTGCGGCAAGATACGCTTCGGTAGTGTTCCGATCGCTGAAAATCTCGAAGAATTCTCTGATTCTCCATGGAGCGATGACCTTTCACATAAAACACGTACAGTGCATACACATTTATTTTAATTAGAAGAATCGTGAATTTCCCTATCACAAGATTTAAAAGCGGTTCAAACTTAATTTTATTTACCTTTATATGCGGTTGTAAAGCAATGCAGCTCAGTTCGAAACGATTTTGATCGTTGCCTTTAGCACTGCATCCATGTGCCATATACTGTGCAGTGTGCACGCTCGCTGACAACAATCCTCAGAAGGTTCTCCACAATACAGTAACGGGACATTGGTGTGGCACACATGTACCGGCCCTCGTAGCGAGCACTGGATTTTAACCAAGTCCACATATAGTTCTCCACAAAGTCTTCCCGGCAATCTTGGATAATCACCTTTATAAAAATACATACGGTCTGTAAACGCTCACTGCTAAATCATATATATAAGAGCCGCTGAGCCGCTGTTTGTGTTTCAAAATCATACGACACTAACTGCGATACGTAAAGCCTGCGATAATCTGCTGAAAAATCTAATTTTGCAATTTTAAAGATGTTATAGAAATATGTAATTAACCATTTTTTCCCATCCAGTGAATTCATGTATCACGCTTCAACATATATAAATAATAACAGCCACCCACTACCGCTCGCATTTACTTTTCTATGAATCACAATAAAGTTTTTCGTATTACAATTTACAGATTTTCTGTTTCAATTTATTCAACTTCGCCAAGTGTTGACCGTACAATAAACTGGATACAACATTATAATTTTCGTGTCCCATACAATTATAACTTATTTACTTACCATAGAATGATAGAAGTAAGGTTATATGCAGTATCGATTGCGTTCAGATTCTGTATAAAATTATTTAACAGACATAAGCCTAGCACATATTACAATCTACCTTCCTTGTTAAAGCTAATATACAATATACAGCTCTCGTAATTATGCGCTTAATTAAGCAGTTTAAATATTAAAAGTAGATAAGCTCATCTGCTCCTTACCTGCACATATCTATAATTCTATAATATACGGGTGCTCGCGCGAATACGCAACTGCAATTTGTTACCACAAGCACTTACCTTGGCGGCTCCTAATCTCAAAGCTTCCTCCTCAGTATTACGAAAATCCTCTTTCTGGCCCAGATTAGCCAAAAATACAATAACGCTGTACCCTACATCCAAGAAGTCTTCAATCTGCCATTTACGGAAAGGTTGCAGAAGGGAAACTAGCCGCATGTTAAAATACAAGCTTTGCAATACTTGTTATTGTTATACTTAAGTACTGTATACAAGTACATAAGCCTCTGTATGTACAATACTGACCTTGTTCCACCAGCCATATCAATGTCCCCTTATGGATAAATGTATCGGTGATGCTGTTGCCACTGTAGGCAAGTACGACACGACGTTGTTGTTGCTCTTCTTCATCCATTGTAATTATGCACTGTATTATTGCGGTACTTGGCGCATATATAACTGCTGCTCACAGCCTCACAAATAGTCCGACCATCTTTATGTGCAATTCTACGTTTTAAGAAAGCTTTAAGAAGGCGAAAAGCGGGCCACAGAATTCCTGCGCCAGCGGATCAGCATCGAAATCCAACGAGGCAATGCGGCATCTATCCTGGGAACGGCACCGATGGGAGCAAATTTAGATCAAATGTTCTCTGTGATTAGGCCGCATGAGTCAGTTGATGCTGTGTAATAAGTGAAGCTTCTTGAGCGTTTAAAATGAAGTTTTAATTATGCAAAAAAAGAAAGCTTTTGGCTTTTGCAACAGTCATTTATATACCATAGAGTTCCGGTACGTCGTTATCTCAGTCAGTCCCAGAGTTTATATTTCGAGCTTTCTCACCAACTCACACCAGTTTTTACCATAACTATGTAGCTTTCCAATAATACGTGTTTGTGGTACACTTCCGCTTTCACAAGCAAAAAAATAGAGTACGAAGAGAGTAAGTAGTACGTGCCAGGCAAGCTTCCGTCAGTCTATAATAATATTATTATGGAAGCAATGGGATGAATCGGTACGAATTTATGGTAAGATAGGTTCAATGTTCTCGCTTGCCTAAAGTGTGTTATGGAAACCCCAGCATAATCATTCTTGTGGTAGACCTTTGGATAGACAGGTCACAGCTTTATGACTTTCAAACCGAAAACCAAGAGGAGGTTTATTATTACTAACAACTCCCAAATGTCGACACGCCTGTTTATACTTTTTGTAGCTAGAGGTTATCGGCAATGCAGTTTTTCCGAATTCCGTCTATTAGATTCAGCACATTATAATTACTCAGAAACGGCAAGTGTCGCATATTTAATCATTAACTCTGGCTACGCGGGGTTAGCGATGACCAGTTCCAGCTCTAGCGGATTCTTTCAGTCGAAGGGCGTTTATTTTAATGAACCCATCAGCATCCGCGGGCTCGTAGTTACCCTGCACGTCCATGCTGCAGCAAACAAAAGAATTTCAGCATGTTAAAATTTGATGAGATCCTGCAGCTTAATTTTACAAAGCCGGCACACGACCGCAGCAATGCGAGTGTTTACTTCTTATCAAAATGCCTACTGTACGGTACCTCACTAAATCCTTGTTGTAAATGGGGACATCGGAATGGCGAGCAAGAATCTGCACGTGACCTTTATACAGGTTTACCTTTACCCATCCGCACACACTTTTCTGACTTGCAGCAATGCACTCTTGCACATAGCGAGATTCAGGAGAATACCAGAATCCATTGTATATCATTCGGACAAACTGTTCGGCAAGCTGTTGTTTCAAATAGCGTACTTCCTGTAACACATATGTATTTTGTAACAACTATACAGGTAAACAAAATACGTTTAAAAAGTAGCACGAAAATACTTCGAATGAAGAACGGCTTACGTGAATCGTATAATATCTATATAGGTATAAGCCAATACTGCATTGCCCAAACAAAGTCGGCAATTAGAAATTCAGGGACTTTTTATTTAAACTAAGGTTGAATTTTCTGTCACCTACTCCATGATTAAAGTATCAAGTACCAATTGAATTACAGTAAGTTAAAACGAATTAAAATTACGGCAGTATTGTAACGTTAACTAAAATGCACAGCGGCATCAGCTAGCTATAGTTCCTGTATAAAATTTTCAAAACGTTATAGTCTCTGATGAAATTCGCCGCTTAATTTTAGACTAGGATTACAGTGATCAAGAAAAAGCTCCCTGTTTACTCGGTCCATTGTCAGCAGTTCTAGATCCTGGTGTGCCAGGAATAAAATTGTTGCGCCAGGAGTTTCATAAACGCCTCGGGATTTCATCCCGATAAACCGATTTTCCACGACATCAATACGCCCGATCCCATGTTGACCTCTGCAAGATTGGTACTAAAACTTATTATAAAATAATAAACATTTTTACTTATCTTATTACATAATAGTAATCCATAGATGACTTGTCAGCAAGCCCAAAGCATTTGATAAGCGGCTGTTTTAAAAAAAATGCCACTGCTATGTATTCTACGTAACGTTTACTCTTCGAGCACAGTCAATATCTTTGGTATGTTTTTTTATGATGTAGGTTCCATACCCAATTTGGTTCAAGAACTGAAACAGTTCCAATGAACCCGTGTATGTAACGTTTGTATCCTCCGCGACCACAGCCACGGGAATTCCATTACGGAACGATATCGTCAGCCTATCCGGCTTATCCGGTGCGTTTTCTGGATTAACCGTCATCTGGCACAGGTCAGGCGGTGGAGGCTGGGCCGGATCCTCCAGGACACCGGCTTCGTAGCTGATGTGCATCAGATTGGCGTCCATACTCCATGGCTGCTTGGGAGACACGGGAACGGGGATGCCGCGCTCCGCTGCGTACGCCATCAAATCCTGCCGACCGCGGAAGCGGCTATAAAATTCTTTCTGCCTCCAGGGAGCAATAACCTACAAGGCTACATATATCAATAATATATGGACATGCATCGTATAATCGGCATATTGTTTTACCTTATGGAAATCAACTTATTGTACCGATTAATGCAATCACAAACGTTCAGATTACCCACGAAAGTTGCACTCACAATGTTTGGCTTTGAAAACTATTGTACCAGACTCGTATTAAATACTTCATTTTTTTAAATGAAAACTATGTAACTTTGATGGTTACTAATTTTGAATTTACGAAACCCCTTGCAAAGTGTGCTTCCATTATGTTCCCATAAAATGCACGTAAATTACCTTCAGTTTTGGATGCAAAGCGTAACAGCAGAGTTCGAAGCGGACTTGATCATTGCCTTTACCGGTGGCACCGTGTGCGAAGTAGCTGGCGTTCTCCGCGATGGCGATTTCGACCAGTTTAGCGGAAATGCACGGTCGCGCTAACGATGTGCCCAGCATGTAACGGCCTTCATATAGTGCGCTGGACTGCAGCCATGGCCAAATGTAACTCTCCACAAAATCCTTTTTCACGTCTTCGACAATCACCTATAAACGAGGATAGATATAATTATGAGTGCAACAAATGTACAGTTCAGCATTACATAAAATTAATATAGACGCCATTGACTAATCGACGTGACTGATCATGAGCATTGTAATTACTGTACTTGGCCATGGTACCTTTTTTGCTCCAAGTTTTAGCGCTTTCGTTCGGGCAGCATCAAAGTTCTCTTCCTGTCCAATATCAGCCAGAAATGCAATAACTTCGTACCCTGTTGCAACGAGGACAATATGTAACGAGATTACTATATTGCTTGAAGCCTTGAAGAGTATAATCAAACCAAACAGTCAGGATTGTAGACAACCTTGTTCAATTAGCCACACCAGTATACAGGAAGTGTCCAGTCCGCCGCTATAGGCCAAAATCACCAGATTATCCGTGCTTCCGTTTGTACGTTCCATTTTTGACAAAAAAGTATTTTTAAGTTTCGTAAAATGATTGTGGAATAATTCTGTATGATTGAAATATTATTTGACACTGCTACCTACAATTTGACAGTACACACTACACACTGCAATACTTGAAATTTTTGTTCTATCGGGCAATCTAACTTCAGCAATCTGCAGATTCACCTGTGATAGCGGCACTCATCGACCACCGGCACAGCGCCAGACTGCTGTTTATCAGATCGATGTTGGTCAAGTACGAGTAGACTACGCCATTCGGACAATTTTTTCACAGTAAATAAATCAACAAGTAAGTTGTAATGGTGCTATTTTTCGTGGCGCACTTATGTAACAGATGTGCACGAGGAGATCACGAGTGATGCTTTATTGACAAATAAAGGGGGAACAATGCTGCGTATAGCAGGAAAGCAAGAACAATAGCAGTGATGGCTAAAAATAGCAAGTGTGTGCTAAAAGGGTTCTTGAGCGTCTTCCAAGTCGTGAAAGAAGCAACTGGCGGCAAACACGTGCTGTGTGCCATCAGCTGTGTGATGATGCGCAGACTGGACTCTATCCAACGCGAGCGTATGAACGCTGAGTCATACTGCGAGAGAGGAACGAGAGAGCAAGTGTAGCTCAGTGTATGCGCTGCGTATATCCGCTTCAGCGGATGAGTGCAGTGCAGCAGCACACGTACGTACAGCGAGAGAGGTGGTAACGGCAAGCAATGGTGCAAGTACGTCCTGTGTGGACCGTACGCACCAGGCGCAGTCGTACGCCTCTGACATGCCTCTGGGCGAAAATCCGAGCTCCCGCGAAGGATGCTCCGACTCGGTACCGCACCAGTACCACACAACTCTCCGGTCGGACCCGTGTGGGGTCGCCGGTACGCGTCCTCTAGCAGTGGGAGTCCGGTGTCTGGTCGACCGTCCCTTCTTCACTTCCGAACCCATGAGTGGAAACCACTCACGGCCGGGAAATCCGGAAGCCGCTCGGGCGTTTCGTTGGACCGGTGATGCTTCTGTTGGCTTGGCTTCTTGCGTCTGTTGGCAGCGGAGAACAATGTGAAAAGAAAATGTAATAAAAGTTTATGCAGCGCGAAAGAAAGTGAATAAAGTTTAATCACAATTCCAGTGAGCAAAGGGGTTACAAAACAGATCTGTCAAAGAGATCGAACTAGAAAAATACAATTCCATTTGTTAGGAGAAATGCTAAAAAAAATATGCAAAAATCTGTCCGGGGGTCCTATTCCGACTAGGATGACGTCCACGGGGCGATTGAGTCTCCACGGGGTCTCCTGTCCACCTTCATCCGGTAAAGTTGGGTCCGGGGCATCAGTTCCCGGGTTACCCGTCGTAACCGGTTACATTCTCCGAGGTCGGATAAGCACGGTTAAACACTTACTTCCGACTCGTATCCGTCCGTTCGGGATAGAGAGGCACTGTTGCAGATGCAAATGCCGAGGCATCCTCTCTGAATGGGGAATAGGACCAAGGTCGGTTCGACCAAGGTCGGCCTACCGGTAAGTCGACCGGCGGCTGGGGGAAATTCGGCTATGTTCCGAATTGCTAAAGTCCAGGTCGGAAAACGCTGTATGTAAGTCATGCGGCCTTTGTGGTCGTCATGTACAGCAGTTCCGTTCGAAAAGTGGTCGGTTACAACCGTTTAATCTGCTACCACGAGCCTGGTTTGGAGTAATCCGAGTCGAACTGGCTCGAAGGTCCGATCGGAAATCGTGGGTTTGTTCGATGGAAGTGTCCGGTCGACTTCCATCCGGTGTATTCCGTTGTTATCCGACCTTCTGTCGAGGTCGGTCATCCTATCCGTCGGTGGTCGACTAGGGTTAACCTGCAATAACATGCCCATGTGGGGCTAAACAAGTGCCTTCAGGTCGAATTCATCCACCGCAAACTGTGATCAATCGTCTCCGGTCATGCTGACTGGGTTTCCGACCTCCGACTTGTGGTCGGTTATGGTCGGCTTCGGAAAGTCGGATGAACTGTGTGCTCATCCGTCCGAAGGCTAGGTTTTTCCGCCAGGAGGTCGGTTCTCGACTTCCAAATGACGTTACCGACTTGTTGTCGTATCCTTCCGACTTCTGTTTGGTCACTTCCGACCTTCATTTGAGGTCGGCTAATTTCCGACTTCTTCGAGTCGGATGAACTGTGTGTTCATCCGTCGAAAAAGCAAAATTCTTCGGCTAAGAGGTCGATTTTCTACTTCCGATGGATTTTCCGACCTGTTGTCGTATACTTCCGACCTCCATCTGATGACTTCCGACTTCCGTTCGAGATCGGTTATCCATGTCGGAATCCCAAGGTCGGCTGATTTCCGACTTCTTCGAAACGGATGAACTGTGTGTTCGTCCGTCGAAGAGATAAAGTTCTTCGGCTGGGAGGTCGATTTCCGACTTACAAGTTCTGTGCCTACGGCTACAGTTGACCGGGTCTCCGTTGTTCGGACATCCTTTGGTCAGTTTTGACTGGCAGAAGGATGTTCGGCAGCCCAACTCCGTTCCTTCTGTGATTCCTGACATGAACTCTGGGTCGGATCCAAGCTACTGTTGGCTGGTTTATCCGAGTGACTTGCCTCTGGGTCGCCGAGTCCTGCGAGGTAAAAGTTTCCTTGGCGTCTGTTGGCCGAGTGACTGGCGCTTCATCATGCAAATGTGCTCGCCTACAACACGAAGGGTCTTTGTGGCCCCGGTTGTCGAGCTCTTTGGTTTGAAACTTCATGCACATGCAAGTCCCTGAGGTCATCAGATCCGGTTCTTCCGTTTTGTTTTGTCGCGAACCTGAGACGCCTAGCCGCTTCTGTTGGGGGTAGACAACTCACGTCCACGGGAGATTTTCTTTGCCGCTGACGAAGGCCGACTGGCCAGTACTGTTGCGGGCAGGTGGTCATCGTCATCGGGTGTTCGTTAAAGGGGTGCCGGCCGAGTGTTCTAACTCGGTCTGCCTAAGGTGTTCCATTGAAGACATGGGGAAGCAGGTCGCGGCGGAGTCGTTGGAGTGGCGGCCAAATCACCGTCGCTGTTCCTCTTCAGGTAATGGCAGCACGTTCGAGACGCGCGTAGTCGTGGTCACCGGTGAATCGGCTGGTTTACCCGATATCGTCCGGGGGAGACTGCGGTTGGACTCCGGGTACAGGTTCCTAGTTGAGTTCCTGTAGATCTGGGTTCAAACGGAGAATCCGGTTAAGTTACCACGTGGCTACTGCTAGCTTCCGTCCATTCTTCCTGGGCAATTTCTGTTGGCCGTTATGGTCGACCTGTGTGGTCGGCCATAATGTCGATTTCTCGTTAGTCGGCTACCATATACTTAGTCGATCTGTGTGATCGGCTGAGGTAGCGAGTCGTGGTTCGGCGATCTGCATCGTTGCGATTCCGACTTCAACTCTCTGAACAATTCGTTCCGAGTTTCCCAAAACCGATCTCTGTGATCGGCTTGCACAACCGACCTTTGTGGTCGGTTAGTGCGGCAATATCCATTATGTCTCCAAGTTATGGATGAAGTACAAAGTCGACCTTTGTGGTCGACTCACGTACATATAGTCGAATCCGAGTTTTTCTTGCACTGTTGGCAGCTCGGCCGAGGGATATCCGCTCTTACACTGGTGAAGGCTGCTCGGCTACCCGGTTCCGATGTTGGCCACGGGTGCTTGGCGAACATGGTGTCAAGAACGTGACAACGTTTTTGACACCATGTTAGCGTAATCCTCTCGGTCTATGCTCCGGAGTCGGTTGGCCGGAGTAATCTTCATAGCCGGTCGTGGTTACTGGTGTGATCTGTACCATGTAACTATCGGTCGGCTCCATGTAACGCGGATTGGGGGCTTCTGTTGGCTCCGATGGTCGCAGAACGTGGTTGGCGATCTGCTATTGTCGGCAGATGTGGTTCACGATCTGTTCATGCCATGCTGGGGAACTGACGTCGGTTTGCTCAGTTCTGTCCAGGGGATTCCTCGGAAGACGTACCGGAACGGTGGAAGAAGCCGTCTTGTCAGGTCTAACCACTCATGTCCGGGTCAAAACCGAAGAATCCGGCTGACTTGTGTAGTCAGCATTCTGGCAAAGTCATCGTTGACTTCCGCTGTATACATGGTTTGGTCGGTTTCTGGAAAAAACTAAAGAAAAATGTCCATTCCGGGGTCGTTTCTCGACGGTGCAATTTATCCGTTAGACTGGTTCTCAGTCGGGTCGGTTCTCGACCGTGCCGTTTCTCGGCGTTAAGTCCCCTCGGTTTGTTCCGAGTTGGGGATCGAGTTCCAATGTGGGAACTCGATCTTAACTGAGTGGAACTTCGACGGGTTTGTCGCCGCCGAAGTAATCTTCGTCGTCTTCGTCGTCCGGGCGAGGTCGGTTATGTGGCCGGATATTCGGGTCCTTGGGTCTACAAGTCGCTGGGCCACTACGTTGGGACGCCTCGTCGGTTTCGTCTGTTTCTTGGCCGGGGCGATCCGTTCTACCCTTCCTCGATTCCCTGGCCGCCTGTTTGCGGAGCCGCAGCGCATACGGTCGTGCGCCGGGTGCTATGTCGTCCGCCATCCAAGGTTCATAGGGCGATGAGTTGAATCCGCTAGGTAAAGTCTTCTTTTGTCGGTACCAGCTGATAAATCTGGTCGCGTCGTCGCTGGGATCTACGTGATCCTCACGAAAGGCATACTTTGTCGCATACCGTTCGTGGGTGTACAGCAAGTCGCGCATCCAGACGGCGAGGATAACACTTCTCATTGGTGTGCCGAGTTGGGCTACGAGGGTCTCCACAGCCGCTGGTATCATCTCGTTCTGGTATAAGCCGTACAGGGTGTAGTGGCAAAAGTAATTGCCGAGCCGAGCTGCGAAGATGAATCGCAGGAATGCGGTGACTCCGTCCTGGGCCATGTCGACTTCCCCTTCTGGAAGGTACTGGGTCAAGTCCAGTGCTGCCCGAGCCGCGGTTATTACAAAGGCTGGGTGGGCGTCGGTGATGACGAATTGGGCAATACTTTCCATCTCGTCATGGGGGTATTCCCGAGCTCCTAGTTGGCTCGCACGCGTTTCGTCCGGGCTGTACAACGGTACATTCAGTAAGACCGGATCGGTCATCGACGGTAACGCATTCGATCTGGTACATGGGTGTTCAACATTCGGCGCTGTGTGCGCGTCCATGTTGAAGTCAGGTTGCCACTGGTGTTGTTCCAGTAGCGTCTGGTATCCGGATCGGACGAGGAATTGGCGAAGGTTTTCTACCATGCGCCAAACTTGTGGTCGATTCC